GGGCTGGAAAGATTAGGCATTTTCCAGCAAATGAATCCTGGTCAACGGACACCTCCTGTAGAATAATAATGAGTATCAATCTTCCATATAGACTGTAGACCTAAAGTACTAAGGTTGGGTGGACAAGAATATAGGAGCTACTACAGGAAAACAGATCTCCGGGTTAAGATGGTCCTAAAAGTAGAACACAAAAAGCGCTAACCATAGGCATGAATTCAAGGAATTCTCCTGCCTCAGCCTCCTGAGTAGTTGGGATTATAGGCATGCACCACCACGCCTGGCTAATTTTGTATTTTTAGTAGAGGTGGAGTTTCTCCTTGTTGGTCAGGCTGGTCTCAAACTCCTGACCTCAGGTGATCCACCTGCCTTGGCCTCCCAAAGTTCTGGGATTACAGGCATGAGCCACCACACCTGGCCAGCCCATTCTTTTTTTTAATGGTTTGATTTCTGAGTCATTGAGGGTGCCATATGAACATATTTCACTGTGATTATTGCTTTATCTATTTTTCCTTTTTATTCTATTTTTCATTTATACATTTTTAAAGTTATGTTGTGTGCATACAAATGAAAATTTGTTGTATGTTCCTGGAGAATTGACCCTTTTGTCTATATAAAGTACCTTAAAGTCTATGTTCTCAAATACTGTGTGATTTGTCTGTTATTAGTATGGATATAGCACCTTTCTTTTGTAAGATATATCCTTTTTAATTCTTTTATTATTTCAGTGTCTACATTTTTGGTATTTCTTTTCTAAGTGATATTCAATTATGTTTTATTTGTGTATCCAGTCTCACAATCTTTTTTTTTTTTTTTTTTTTGAGGTGGAGTCTCACTCTGTCACCAGGCTGGAGTGCAGTGGCATGATCTCAGCTCACTGCAACCTCTGCCTCCCAGGTTCAAGCGATTCTCCTGCCTCAGCCTCCCGAGTAGCTGGGATTACAGGCACCCGCCACCACGCCCAGCTAATTTTTGTATTTTTAGTAGAGACAGGTTTTCACCATGTTAGTCAGGATAGTCTCAATCTCCTGACCTCATGATCTACCTCTGGATAATGACGCCATCTGATAAATGCAAATTCTGAGTTTTCAGACACCTGAATTCATCAGAGATCTTTTTTTTTTTTTTTCCTGCCTATGGTTAGCGCTTTTTGTGTTCTATTTAGGACATCTTAAGCCCGTGAAGATCTGTTTTCCTGTAGTAGCTCTAGTATTTTGTCTTAAGTACTTAGGTCTACAGTCTATATGGAAGATTGATACTCATTATTTTCTACAGAGGTGTCCGGTTGACCCAGGATCATTTGCTGAAAAGCCCATCTTTCCCCCATCGTACTGCACTGTCACCTCTGCCATATATGAGGTGACTGCATGTCCGTGGGTCTGATTCTGGGTTCTATAGTCTGTTCCATGGGTCTGTTTGTGTACACATTTGTTCTTTGCCTGTTTGTAAACTTTAAATCATACAGTATGT